CAGAGAATAACACGGGAAGTCCTTAAAGGGTCTTCAGCAGAAAAGGGCGTGGTTATAATTGCTAACAATGCTGAGCCCTGCCCCTATGCTGGCCCTCTGAACACTTTACATCCCTTACTCCATTTAATCCTCACCATAACCCTGTCACCTTCCTCATAATATCAAGAAGCACTGGCTGAGGCCCTTTGTCCAAGGTTAGACAGGTCAGCGAAGGAGCCAGGAGTCACACCCAGACAGCCTGGACTCCAGAACCCACCTGCCTAACCACATCTAGAACTACCTCCAGGAAGCAGATCCATGTCTATAATAAGTCAGTTGTGTGGCCAGAGACTGAGCCCATCTCATTTTTTTCCAGGTGTACAAAAGAGCCAAGGCACTGGACCAGTCTGACAACGACATGTCTGCTGTGTACCGGGCCTACATACACTAAGCCCCTGCCCCCGTAATCTTCCCTGACCCCCCTCTTCCTCACACGGAGTTGGGGTCCTGGGACTTCACTCTGGACCAGTCCACCTGTCTCCATCTCCTTTTATACAGACTTTGAGACTTGGCATCAGCACAGCACACAGCATCACTCCTCCCCTCAAGGTTCTGGGAAGGGGAGGGGTATCAGCAAGATTGGCCTGTGGGCAAGCTCTTGAGCTGGCCAGTGGCCCTCGGACCAGGTGGCTGTGTGTTCACACACACACACACACACACACACACACACACACAAACACACACACACACACACACCACTGGCTCTTGCCCCAGGATAGAAGCTGCCCAGAAACTGTTGCCTGGCTTTTTTTTTTTCCTTTTTCCAAGCTTGTCTTATCTCAGATCCTACCAATCGAAGAACTAGAATCAGCAGTGAGAACTGGAAGCCTTTCTACTGCTTCCCTCAGAGCGAAGAGGCTGTGGTCTTTTCCATGTCCCCCACTGGTTCCGCCGTAGAGAGAGGCTCTGGGCCAAGATGAACCAACACAGACTAAATGGAGGGTCCTGTGGGCCCTCCAACCTCAGGTGACCAGCTGATGAGGATTGTCATGTTTAAGCTACCAGTGTGCAACCAACTCTCCAGAAATGCCTTTGTGAACTAAAAAGAGATTAGCAAAGTCAAGTGAAGACAGGGCTCTGGCTTTCACAGGAAAGCAGCAAATAGCCAGCTTGTAGGTGAGCCTCACAGAAGCCTGCTTTCCTTGCTGCTCTTCAGCATCCATCCCAGAAGTCACCATCACCATGGAGCCCTGGGCTGGGATCAGACTTCCTTACTTTGGTGTAGGAGGAGCTCACTCCTCACCAGGCTGTTTTAGTATTTAGATTTGCATTCCAGCCCTTGGGAAGGGGGTTCTTAGGACCATCAGTGAGGAGCGAAGAGGAAGGGTGATGGGCTCCTTCTGGTTTCCGTTATGCCACATACTCTTCACCTGGTTCTGAAGAGCCACCCTGACCCAGGTCTCCTCACAGCGGTCCCTCCTTGTCCAGCCTGCCCTGCACGTCTTCCGCATGTTCACCTCTCTGTTCCCCTCCCTTTTCCATTTTCCTCCATGGAGACAGTATTTCTTGTCTGTCTATCCCTTTGGCCCAGACCCAGCCTGACCAACGATGACCATTTCTTAGGCTCAGCTCTTGAAACAGGAATGAGTGTCTTCACTTCAGACAGCAGCATGGTCTTCGGTGCTTCCAGGGCCCCGGGGTCTGTCGGGAGGGAAGAGGAGAACTGGGCCTGACTGAACCTGAACTGGCCCTCAGAGGTGGATCCAAGACATCCTCCAGGCCCTAGCATTTCTCCTTGGATAGGGGACCAGAGGAGATTGGAATATGGCATAAGAACAAGGAGAAGTCACCTAAAGGATGTCAATATTGTCTCCCTCTGCAAGGGTTGGATTTTCCAGTCACACCTTGCAGAAGGTCAGCATTTGTAGTGACTAATTACATATATATAATGAGGTGGCCACACTGGTGTAGGTCCCTCCCCCTCACAGCCTTGGCCCTTTTCCACTGATCAGAACCCAGGGTTCTTAGGGGGATCTCAGAAGACATGGGGGGAGGGCAGGGAAGATGCCTGTGGGGTTTCGGCACAGTTGATTTCACTGAGATTTTGAATTCTTTTCTGTCTGAACACAAAGCCTGTTATAGTCCTAGCTGGACACTGGGGGGGTGGGAGTGGGGGAAGATGCTGTAATGAAACTGGTTAGTCAATGTTGTCTTAATATTGTTGACAGTTCTGTAAAGTTCCTTTTTATGAATATTTCTGTTTAAGCTATTTCACCTTTGTTTTGAAATCCTTCCCTTTTAAGGAGAAAATGTGACACTTGTGAAAAAGCTTGTAAGAAAGCCCCTCTGCCACCCCTTTTTTTCCTTTAAATGACAAATCTAGGTAATTAAGGTTGTGAATTTTTATTTTTGCTTTGTTTTTAATGAACATTTGTCTTTCAGAATAGGATCGTGTGATAATGTTTAAATGGCAAAAACAAAACATGATTTTGTGCAATTAACAAAAAGCTACTGCAAGCAAAATAAAACGTTTCTTGGTAACACAACTGTGACCGATTACATTGGCAGTGACCTGCGCCTGGACACCGACCGCCGAGTGGTGGAGGGAGGAGGAGGAGGGTGGAAGATAAGTCGGCGGGGCGGCGGCCTCATCGAGTCCGCCCGGGGCTTCCTCCTGGACCAACGGAACCAGCGAGCCAATAGCGAAGCCGAGCGAGAGCAGGCTGCCCGTCGGCCAATCGCCGGTCGCGACGAGAGCAAGCCATCCCACAGACCAATCTATGAATGCAAGTGGGGCAGGGCGCCCTATCAGAGCCTCCGAGGGGCGGGACGAGGGTCGCATCTCTCCAAATGGCGCACACCCTTGGACGCGGCGCCGGAGGCTGGTGCCGGCGGGGTGCCGGCGGGGTCCCGGGAGAGAGCGCGGAGGGTTTGCCCACCCGCCAGCTTAGTTCTGTTTCGCTGCGTTTTGAGCCAGGGGCGGGGCGAGCACCGCTCAGCCAATCGGAGGCAGGGGTGGTGGTTTCAGGGGCGGGGTTGGCTTGCTCTCAGCCAATCGGAGGCGGAGGTGGCCCCGAGCGTCGCGGATCGACCGAGCGGCGGACGGACGGCTAGCGGGAGACGGTCGCTGGGCGGTGAGAGGCGGCTATGGCGACTGCGATGGCAGCGACAGCGGTGGAGCGGGCAGTGCTGGTGAGGCGCGCGGGCGGGCGGCCGGAGCGTGGAGGGGGCGGCGGGTCTGGGTGGCTGACAGCGGCCTGTCCCCGCAGGAGGAGGAATTCCGCTGGCTGTTGCACGACGAGGTGCACGCCGTGCTGAGGCAGCTGCAGGACATCCTCAAGGTAACGCCTCGCAGGGTGGCCGTGTGCCTTTTCGCGCGCCCACCTTCCCCAGCCTCTCCTGCCACGGCTCCTTATCCCCGGCCGGCTGCGCTTGCCTCCCAAGCGCCTGCTGTGTACGCAATGCGCGGTGTTCAGACGGGGCCCTGCCCTCAGTGGACTTGGAGTCTAGTTGGAGGCGCCAGCAGACAATTACCCGATTCCAGAAACATCTGTGTGAGCGCCATGGGTCTGGGTTGAGACCCCGTATCGGGCGGGATAGGCTTCCTTTGAATCAGGGATATTTAACCTGAGATCTGAAGGACCCCAGTACTGAGACATTAGCCAAGTACTCAGTATCTCTGACCCTTCCTTTAAAAATTTGCAAAAAGGAGATAATAGTACCGGCCTCAGAGGGCTGTCGTGATGATAAGCCTGTCAACTCACAAATGTCCAGGGATAGCCTGGTATGGCCAGAATTGCGGGTTGCCATGACTATTGGGGTTCCCTGATTCTGCTCCCCACACCTGAGCACCTTAGCCAAGCCAGGAGGGTATCTCTGTCCTTTATTCCCATATTGGGCACAGTTGGCTAGGCGCCCAGGGAATGTGGAAAAAAGCAGGTATAGGCTCAGGTAGGACCTGAAACTCAGGCTGTGGGGGAGGGGCCAGAGCAGCGGGAAGGTGCCCTGGAGGCTTGGGTAGGGTGTTTCAGTGAGGCCAGCCCACCTTGTTCCTCTGCTAGCGGACCTGGGAGTGGTGCTTCCAGAAGGAGCCCTGGGCTGGATTAGGTAAACTTTACCCCACTCCCTTCTGCACCCTAGGAGGCGTCCCTCCGTTTCACTCTGCCAGGCTCAGGCACTGAGGGGCTGGCCAAGCAGGAGAACTTCATCCTGGGCAGCTGTAGGTGAGCCGGAGCTCTGCGGAAACCAGAGGGATGGGCTCCTTAGGAGAGGGGATGCCTGGGATACCCACTAGAAGAGGTGGCATGACCAAGGCCCTACCCTGAAAACTGATTTCAGCTCCAGTGTCAGAGGGTGTGCGATGGGACAGGTTGAACCATCCTGTGACAGCCAGGGGCAGCCCACTGGGAGGGCTGGGTGGTAGGAGGGGGCAGCTACAGACACTGCTCTGACCCCCACGTGTTGTAGCACAGACCAGGTGAAGGGCGTGCTGACTCTGCAAGGGGACGCGCTGAGCCAGGCGGTGAGTCCCTGGCCCCTCTCCCCTTCCCATGTTGCTTGAGAAGCCAGCGGGGAAGAGTGTAGGGCCCTCCTGCTTACCTCAGTTCTGCTACCGGCTGGTTGTGTGACTCTGGGAAGGATCCTTGACCTCTCTGGGCCTTAGTTTCCTCATTTGTAAAATGACAACAACCCCCAACCTTCTCATGGGATTAATGTGTGCCTTCAGTGAGAGGTGCAGGAAGGGGATACTTTGCACACAGCCCAGCCCAGAGTCTGGACCCAGTGAAGCATGGGCCTTGGCAGGATTAGGCTGGCCCCAGATCAAAGTGGAATCAGCCAACATTTGAGCTCCATCTGCACCCGACCCTGTGCCAGGCGCCAAGGCGTGGGGGAAGGTCCCTCTCCTTCACTGGTGGGTGTTTAGTCTGTTGCCTTGTGCAAATGTTCCCTGTCTGCCCACACCTTCTCCCAGCTGAGGCCACCTTCCCCTTTCTTGGCCTCTTTTCCCTTTCATTTCTTTGTGGTTCCTCTTAGACCTGAGTTCCTGTTTCTTGACCCTCCCTGGTCACCCTCCAAATAGCAAAGGTTTTGGGAATTCCCCTCTCCTCCAGGAGTGGCTAGGGTCTGAGCCACCACAATCACCCTGTTTCAGCCCCTGGCTTAAGGACTCAGAAGTGGTCAGAAGCAGGAGAGTGTCCCTCTGCCTAGCTTATTCTACTCTTGCCCATCAGGACGTGAACCTGAAGATGCCCCGGAACAACCAGCTGCTGCACTTTGCCTTCCGGGAGGACAAGCAGTGGAAGCTGCAGCAGGTAAACCAGGCCCTTCCCTGGCCAGAGCTCAGGCCACAAGGGCAGGCAGGGACAGGCAGGGACAGGCCTGCACGGTGCTAAGGCCTCTAGGGGCTGGCCGATGTGGGGATTTGTTGCGACCACAGCAAGACTGAGGTGTTTCCTTGTTTCCTAGCAGCGAAGCTGGGGTAGGCGGGGCCTGGGGCTCCAGGGCCTAGCCTCTTGAGAGATGGAGAACCTGTCTGTAGGTCCCCAGGCCCCAGCGGGAGCCACAGGGATACTCTTGAACAAGTCACTCCGTGTCCAGAGTCTTCAAGGGCTTCCTATATCTCTTAGGAACCAAGTCCATGCTCCCTACCAACTCCTATGTGACTGGGCCCCAGCCTCTAACCCCCTTTCTGAACTGGCCACCAGCAGTCTCTACCTCCAGGCCTTTGCCCATGCTTGTCCCTCTGCCTGGAGTCCTCTCCCCCAGCTTTTCTCATCACATGGGTGTCAGCTCAGGAGCCACCTCTGACTTCCCAATCAGAAGAGGCTTCCTTACCCCACTCCGCCGCCCTGCTTATTTTTTTTGTATAAGTCACACAGTCTGTTATCTTATGCTTTTACTCTGTTACCATCTGTTCTCCTTTAGAAGATGAGCTACATGAGGCCAGGGTCTGAGCCTGCCTCAGTCTGTGCCATGTGCCTGGCACCCAACCAGGGCACAAAGCCAACAGCTTGAGGGAGGGGTCAGACAAGCAGCACCCACCCGCCCCTCTAAGGATGACAACCCCTCAGAGTCAGGTCCCATGAGCTGATGCCTGGAGACTGGCTGCTCAGAAGCTGGTACCTCTCCCTGCTGGGGCCCAGCCCACTGACCACTGAGTGGACCCTGTTTTCAGATCCAGGATGCCAGAAACCACGTGAGCCAAGCCATTTACCTCCTCAACAACCGGGACGAGAGCTACCAGTTCAGGACAGGAGCAGAGGTCCTTAAGGTGAGCTGCCTGCAGGGACAGGGGAGCCAGTTTCACCACCCCCAGTCCTGACCAGGCCTCTGGAGAGCTCTGCCCCCACATCCTCCAGTGTAGCTAACGGTTGACCCTTAACCTCCTAGTGTGCACATGTCCATCAGCCACAGTCAAATGGCTCACAGCCCAAGCTCCAGAATCAGACCTGGATTCTGACCCTAGGGCCTCTACTACAAGCTCTACAACCTCAAGTCACTTACTTAGGCACTCTGTGCCTCAACATCCTCCCCTGTAAAAGGGAGATAAGAGGTAATGACTACCAACTGTGATAATGTAGGTAAAGCGGCCCTGAGTAAGTCTCTGTAAGTAGTAGCTGCTAGTAGTAGTACTAGCAATAGAAAAACCTTTGTAATTAACAGTCAATTCACAAGGCATGGAGGGAAGAGCTGAGCCTGGATGCCCTGGACTCATGCTTTAGCTCTGCCTCTGACTTGCTGTATGTTCTCAGGTGGCTTACCTACCCCCTCGACCTCTGGTTCCTCATATGAAATTTGGAACTAGATGGACTAAGGTCCCTTTCAGAACTGCGGCTGCCCTGGGGATTATAAGGTGCAGCCCCCATGCCCCTGCCCAACAATTTCGCCTTTCCTGGGAGCCAGGTCACCTTGGCACCCACAGCAACAGGCGGAAGCTATGGAAGCTGGGACTCTGAGACGTCCAAGCCAGGGCTTTGCTCCATGGCAGAGGGAAGGGATGAGTTCAGATGGTTCCACTGTGACCTTACCCCTTCAGAGCCTCAGTTTCCTCACCTGTGAAAACAGGGCTGGTACCTGACTTAAGGCCTCAACTCAGCTGTCCTGTTGCCTCCTCCAGGAAGCCTTCCCTTTTCCTTTGCACCCTAGTTGGATTAGGGCTCCTTCTAAACTCATCCATTGCCTGTACTCCATTCGCCAAGCCCTTGTGCCCCTGGGACTAACTCCTAAGATCTTCTATTCTCCAATGGACCAACACCCAGGATCCCATGCGATAGAACCTCCTGGACCGATGGTCCACAGTATAGTCCTCCTACCCTGCTACACCAGCTGGAGCTCAATTACCAATTACGAAGGGCATCTTTCACAAGCCCCCAGCTTTGGGGGTTCAGGCCTTGAGAACAGGACCACCCGGGCAGGGGCTGGGAAGCCATCATAACTTTGTCGCTGTGTGATGATGGGGTTGGGGGAGGGGGGAAAGATCAGGAACTGGCCCCGCTGCCCTCGCAGCAGCTATGACCAGCCCTCACCCCCCCCAGCTAATGGACGCCGTGATGCTGCAGCTGACCAGAGCTCGCAACCGGCTCACCACCCCAGCCACCCTCACTCTGCCTGAGATCGCCGCCAGTGGCCTCACGGTCAGTGCCTCAGGCCGAGAAGGGGTCCCCTGGGAAGGACACAGGGGTACCAAGGGGTCCTGGAAGCCCCAAATTGTCATCAGTCTGAGTTCTACGTCTATGTCTATGCACAGTTTTCTGGGATAGAGTCCTTGGCTTCCATTCTGTGTCCCCCAGATACATCACCCCTGGTCTGAGTCAGTGGTTCCCAAGCCCAGTGGAGCAGGAAGTTACCTGGGGCACCTGGGGAGTCTGGAAGCCCCAGTCCATAGAATAGGGGCTGGGATCCCCCGAGGTGGTTCTTGGGGGCCTGTGTCTGCCCAGCCCTCATCCTGCCTGCCTGCCTGCCCCACAGCGGATGTTTGCCCCTGCCCTGCCCTCTGACCTGCTGGTCAATGTGTATATCAACCTCAACAAGCTCTGCCTCACCGTGTACCAGCTGCACGCCCTGCAGCCCAATTCCACCAAGGTAAGCAGGACCCTCCCCACCTCTGTCCCCCATTCCCGTCCCCATGGGCCTATGCCCTGCAGCCCCGAGGGCCTGACTGGGTCTGGTACTCTTCTGCCTAGAACTTCCGCCCAGCTGGAGGCTCTGTGCTCCACAGCCCAGGGGCCATGTTGTAAGTATGCTTCTGGGAGGGCTGCCCTGGAGCACCCTCTGCACCCCAACGCTCTGCACCTCAGAAGCTGGGGGCGCTCAGGAACCCTCCCCTCTCCCCTCAGTGAGTGGGGTTCCCAGCGTCTGGAGGTGAGCCATGTGCACAAGGTGGAGTCTGTGATCCCGTGGCTCAACGATGCCCTCGTCTTCTTCACCGTCTCCCTGCAGCTCTGCCAGCAGCTCAAGGATAAGGTAGGGGCATGGGGGCGGGGCCGGGCCACATGCTCAGGCAGATCGGGCCAGCCAGGCAATAGGCTGCGAAGCCCCTTCGTTGTGGCGGGATTCCAATGGCTCTTATTACAACTCCGAAGCATCCCCAAATCTTAAGGTCTTTTGTACCCTCCGCACACACCAGGCAGATGGGCCATGATGGTCCTCAGCAACAGTGTCCTCTCCCTGACACATTGCCCTTGGATGACCTTGAAATCTTACCTGGGTCACAGGGTGCTACAGGGGCCAGGCACCACCATTCACCATGTCCCCCACCTTCCTCCCTCCCCAGATCTCTGTGTTCTCCAGCTATTGGAGCTACAGGCCTTTCTGAACAGAGCACCCAAGAACCTGTCCCCTGAGAAGTGGCGCCTGCCCAGAGGCTCCCTGTCCCCTTGAAGTGTGGGCCAGCGCCAAAGCCGCCACTACAGGCAATTCATTTCCCTCTCTGCCTCATCCTGCCCATCTCATTTGCACAGATGGGATTGAACACTGGAACTTCTGGGAGGAAGGGACGCTGCTGGTTTTTTGTTTTGAATGGGGGTGGGTCGGGAAGGTGGAGCTGACAGTTGGCCACATTCCAAGCCCTGACCTTTGGACTCAAGACGGGCCGGGCCCAGAGCTCTTCTTCCTCCCTGCTTCACTACCTGCCTGAGCTGACACCAGGATGGCAGCTGCCCCCAGGATGGTGAGGGGGAGTGAAGCTGCCCACTGGAAGCGACTCTAAGCTATGAATTGAGAGAAAAGGAGGAAACGGGCAGTCTGAAGCCACCCACCATGAGCTGGAGTGCCCTTGATTGTTTGCTCGCAACCCTGCCAGGGCCTCCCAAGAAATAAAGATCATCGACTTGCCTGGAACCCCTCTGTGTTTCTGTCTGTCTGTCTGAATGGGGACCAGGCTGAGGGCCCTGCTAGTCAGGAGCTGGGTGGAGTATCCAGCAACAGAGCCCCTGGCCTCCTCACTCCACCTTGGGAGGGTCCTCCCAGCTGCCAAGGGGCTGAGTGGGATGGTGACAAAGGCTCTGCCTGGGTGTTTGGGCCCGGAATTTGAGCCCAGCTCCCCTCCTGCGGGTAGTTGCCGGGTGACCTCCAGCAAGTTATTTAAGGTCTCCTGGTGACAGTCATGCCACTGAAGGCTTTGAGGGACCAGGTGGGCATCTGGATGGGGCACCCACACTGCCCACCCCTTGACGGGAGGTTGGAACACACTTCAGACTCGGGTGTTGGGCAAACAGACCTTGTTACTGTTGCCCGGCAAGACACACAGGCAGAGGTGCTTGGGGTCTCGCCGCATTAAGGTTCCAGGGCCAAGTTCTCCACTCCCATGGATCTTTCCTGCAAGAGAAGCACAGGGGCCTGGTGGGCTTCACTCCTCCATTCCTTGCCAACCTCCCTCCAGAAGAGGTCCAGCACCCAGTGTGGTTCTTGGCCTGTCAGAAGATAGTGGGACTCACCTGCTTGACATTCACTTGGGATCTGGAGGAGCGATGACGGCAGCAGCAACAGTGGATACAGACAAACAGCATCAGGAGCAACACAGTGCCTGGGGACAGGACAGGTGTCCAGACATGGCCCTCCCTCCGCCTGGGACCTGGCGTGGGAGGCTGACAGGCCAGAGGCAGAGACCACACTCACCCACGAAGGCGAGGAAGATGACGAAGGCAGCGGTGTCCCACTTGGACTGGAACGGCTGTCTGCTCTTCAGTTTCCCCAGCACTTCCTCAGCTACAGGCTCCAGCTCCTCCAGGTTGTCCATCTCAGCTGGAGGGTCCCAGGTGCCACCTGCCTCAGCACACCAGAGGGAGCCCCTAAGAACCCTGGGCTCTGGGGCCAGGCTACGTACAGGCTTCCCACAGTCCAGCCCCTGCCTCTTTCACACCACCACTCCTGGGCCCCTCCCCCAGCCTCTCATCCACTCCTCTCCGTGCTCAGCCCTCTGGTCCTGGTCCTGATACTGGCCTAGGCAGCCCCCTCCCACCTCCCCCAACAGCCACACCCCCAGACCCTGACCTGCCTCAGAGCTCCCTCAGCCAGGCAGGTCCTAACTTCTGGAGCACAAACTACTTCCTGCTTCCGGATCCATTCTACCTGAGGCCTTGGCAACCAGCCCCACCCTCTCCAGGGGCTGCCGTAGCTCAAGGAAGGGCAGGACCTGTCCCTTGACTCCCAACAGCAGGTGCTGCAGGACCCAGGAGGCACAGGCCAGTGGGCCTCCTCATTCCAGGGCATTTTCACTTTTTCTCAATAGACTATATAAGCAGCTTGGAACACAGTGAACACTCGACTGCTGTGGACTTCATGAATGAAGGAAAGACAGAAAGAGGGAAAAGAGAGGGAGGGAGGAAAGTAAAAAGGAGGGGAAAGGAAGCAGCGGGGAGTCAGTTCCACCACCCTTCCTTGGGTGGCTGGGGTGCCCCTGGCACCATACCAGGAGTCTTATTTTCTCTGTTCTATTCGGATCCTTATTTTCTCTGTTCTGTTTCTCACAATAACCCTCTGGTTATCCTCTCGCAAATGCGCTCTTTCCCCAGAACTTGGGTCTGGGGCCCCTAACCCTGCCATTCTTGACCCTATCCAGCAAGGCAGCTCTCACTCCTGCTTCCATGCAAAGCACAGACATGTGTCCAGGCACACCAATCAGGGGCCGGAGACTGCTCAGCGCTTGAGGTTGGCCGTAAACCAGGTGGATACGATTTCTTGTCCTTGTAATACTTACGGTCTAGCAGGAAAAAAATGTCAGCTAATGTTAGGCTATATGTACATTACCTAATTGATTCCTCATGGCAATCCTGAAGAAGGTATTATTGCTATTCCCATTTTACAGATGTGAAAAACAGGCCTTGAGAAGCTCAGCGACCATCTCAGTCACATTTGTAAAGGATTCATTTCCTGTTGTTGCTGTAACATACTACCACAAACTTAGTGGCTGGAAACAATACAAATGTATTACCTCATAGCTCTGGAAGTCGGAGTCTAAATGGGTTGGTGGGGCTGTGTTCCTTCCGGAAGCTCTAGGGAGAATCCATTCCTTGCCTTTTTCAGCTTCTAGGGGCCACATTCCTTGGTTTGTGCCCCAGCCCCATCACTGTAGTTTCTGCTCCCATCCTCACATCTCTGACTCTACCCTCCTGCCTCCCTCTTATAAGGAATTCTGGGATTACAATGGCCCCCAGGATAATCTCCCCATCGAAATCCTTAATCACTTCTGCAAAGTCCCTTTGCTATGTAAGGTAACACATTCACAGGTTCCAGGGATTGGGATGGAGATGTCTTTAAGGGCCGTGATTCTGCCAAGCACACCCAGTGAGCAGAGAAGCCAGAATTGTGACTCAGGCATTCGGCTAGATCTCAGAGGCCCTGACCATCATGCTATGGGATCTTCTGTACTGGGTTCTTCATTTCGCACCCTGCCTACATCCTCTCCATAGTTTTGAAATGACTGTAATGTTCTATTGCAAAAAGGAGGAGAGGGGGTTACAACCATTGTGGAAAACAGTCTGACAGTTCCTCCAAAATTTATATATAGTGTTATCATATGATCTAGCAATTTCACTCCAAGTATAGACCCAAAAGAATTGAAAGCAAGTACTCAGACTTGTACATAACTATTCACAGCAACACTAACCACAACAGCCAAAAGGTGGAAACAACCCAAGTGTCTATCAGCTGATGAATGGATAAAATGTGGTCTATCCATGTGATGGAATATTCAGCCATAAAAAGGAATGAAGTACTGGAAACTAATTTAAATAAATAATTTTTTTAAAAAAAAGGAACGAAGCACTGACACAGGCTACAACGTGGATGAACCTCAAAAATGTGACGCTAAGTGAAAGAAGCCAGTCATAAAAGGCCACATATTATATGATTATATTTACATGCAATGTCCAGAACAAGCAAATCCATGGAAACAGAAGGTAGATTAGTGGTTGCCAGGGGATTAGGGAGGGGGCATGGGGAGTGAGTGTTTAGTGCTTATATAGTTTCCTTTTGGGGTGATGAATATGTCTTGGAACTAGATAGAGGTCATTCTGCAACATTGTGAATGTACTAAATGCCACTGATCTGTTCACTTTTAATATGGCTAATGGTTAATTTTATGTTGTGAATTTTATCTCAATTGAAAAACAAAGCAGGGAGGGAGGCCGACAACTGGGGCCCCTGCACCCACCACTTGGCCTGGCTGGGTGGGCAGAAGGCCCGTGGTCCCCTCCTTTCTGTACTGACCCTCAGTCTTCCTGTCCAGACTCCTGGGTGCTTTGTTTCTTGTCATTCCCACTATGAAAATAAGACCTGATTAAATAAAATCTGGGAATCTTTGAGGTGTTCAAAGAAAATAGCTACCCACAGAGCCCCCAGACCCAAACAGAGCAACAATGAGGGGCTTTGGGAGGGTCAGACCCTCAGACTTGGATCTTGGTCCCAGTCCTTAACACCCACAAGCTTGTGACCTGAGTCACAGTCCCTGACTTCTCTCTGCCTCAGATTACTCATCTGTAAAATGGATGTGTGAATACTATCCCCCTTCTTGGGTTGTTGTGGGAATTGACTAGAATAATCAACGCAGAAGCTTTCTTAGCACAGTGACATACACTATGAAAATAGGCAGTAAGTGGCCCTGCGTTACTCTCCAGCTTGTGGCCATGATCCCATCCCATCCTTTGTCCTTAGCACACATTTGGGCTCACCCACCACTCTCATGCTACTCAGACCGCTTTACCCTCGACTTCTCCCAATCAGCATAGCCAAGTGTCTTGCAAATCCGGCTTTCTGCAAATCTGATCCTCAAGTTTGCAGTCCCTGTGGGTACCCATTGAGGCTTTCTTCCCCCCAGTTTTTCAGGATTCTAAATCACTCACATGTGATGGTTTTCTTAAAGAAAGTTCTTTCTCTTCAGAGAGGCTTATATCCTTAGGGGACATTCCCGGAGGCAGAATCTGCTCCCTTTCAAGGTCAGTCACAACGCATTCTTTGGTCATCCCCACATAAAGTTTTCATTTGCTTTGATGAAGAGGCCAGCCTCACCGAATCCCTCAAGAGCTGTGGAGCTTGAGAGGTTTTTCTGCTGGGAATGGAACCATGTATAAGTCAAACTCTGCCTCAGTCCTCCCCAGGGCCCTGCCCAGCCCACTCCCAGCCTCCAAGCCTTGAGAGTGAAAGGTTAAGTCTCTGCTGTCGGATATGTAGAAGGTAGGGGAGTAGAAGAGCATGGGCAAAGAGGGAGAGAAGGCTAGTTGGAGCAGAGTACAGTTGAGGTGAGTGGATTGGGGCAGAGTTGGTGAGATCCGGTGAATGCAGTGGGGTCAGTAAATAGTTTTACTGGCATGCAGCCATGCCCATCCCTTTACTTGTCTTCTTTCACATTACGACAGCAAAGCTGAAGAGTAATTGCAACAGAGATCATATGATCGGCAAAGCCTAAAATCTATATGATCTGAGAACTATTTGCAAACATCTGAGACAGGGGATTGCTTAGAGCTTGCAAACTCAGGTGCCAGGAAACTCAGGTGAGAAAGAGCTGAGTGAGATGGACTTGGTTTAAAAAACATCAGGGAGACATTACGGAGGGGTGAGGACTATGGCAAACTGGAGAGCACGTGGCACAGCTAAAGAGGGCAACTCGAAACAGTTGTGGGCTGGGCCAGAGTTCACAGAGTTTACAATCTCTAAGATACACTGGGAATCTAGATGTTCATATAAACAAGAAAAGAGGCTGGAGAGGGTGAGCACATGGCCTCAGATCCCACCTCTGCCACTTCCTCACTGTGTGACCTTGAACGACTCCCTTGACCTTCTTATCTGTAGACTAGGGATGGTAACAGCACTTATTTCTTAGGGCTGTGATGATCATTAAACAAGTTCCTATCGTAGGGCCCCTAGAACAATGCCATGCTCAGATTAAGTACAAGGTAAATATTTGCTAAATTAATGCCTTGATTTTTCAATGCTGGCAATTTAAAACACTATGGCACCAGCAATGGATAGACCAAAAGAAAAACACATGGACGTTGTGATTTCTGGCTGTGGGTCACAGTTTGCTCCCCCTGGCAGAGTGATCTTGGAATTCAGAGTGACTAGCTGAATGAAGCCCAGCCCTGCCATTCATACCAGCTAGGTGACCTAGGGCAAGGGAGCTGCCCTAGGCCCCTGGGCTTCCTGTCTGTAGTACTAAGCTAGGGTCTTTGTGAAGATTACATGGTAGTGTCGGTAAGGGCCTGGAGGAGCAGCTTACCTGTCCCTGCCCTGGGCTCCTTGATGCTGAGGAGCCCCCAGGTGAGGTCATGGGGAGGGGGCGGGGCTAAGATTCTTCAGTTAACTGTCACCTCCCCTCCCCTTCACCACACACACCAGGGTCTGCCAGGACAGGGCAGCCTCAAAAGCCCCCACAGGAACCCAGGGCTACTAGGTGCCACGGGAGGCTGCTTCTCTCTCTGTCCCCCACGGGTCTGACCCCTGGGCTTTGCTGGGGGAGTGTCTGAGCAGAGAGCCTGCCTGGGCAATTGGGTGGGGTGAGAGTGGAAGCTGGGGTGGGGAAGGAACAGATTCCCTGGGGCTGGACATCTCAGGGTGGGGATTCAGTCTCCCCCAAGAGGCAGCTCCCCCAGGCGCCTCTCACCAAAACCCTTGGGTCATGGGGACTTGGAGACATAACGCGTGGGAGTGTCTGGAAGCAGAACTCAGGAGTCAGGGTTCAGAAATGAGATAACATAAGTGGTCCCATTCTGGAGCCCCAGTGACCCCCTTCTTCCCACTCCACCCGGATGACAGGTATTGTTGTGCCCTTGGTCCCATGGACCCCCTGAGGTGGTCCTCCTCCCCCAGCTCATCTGGGACCTCCAGCCCCAGGACCCCGCCCTGCGAGATGCTTGGTTACGTGGGCATCGAGGCCGTGCTTGACCAACTGAAGATCAAGGCCATGAAGATGGGGTTTGAGTTCAACATCATGGTGGTGGGTGAGTGAGGGGCGGAGGCTCACAAGGGGACAGAACAATTGATGCGACCCCAGGGGCCAAGGCATGGTTACCTCACCTCTTGGGGTCTCAGTCTTCTCATCTGTTAAGTGGGCCTAAGAAGTACCTCGCAGGGGTATAATTGAAAATCTGGGAAATGCTGAGTCATTAAAGGACAAAAATCACACATGAAGCCCCAACCTAACCCAAACAGAGCAATAAAATGGGGAGCTGAGGCAGCAAGTGGTGAACACCCACACTCAGATCCTGGTGCCAGCCATAAACCCACCAATCCACCACTATACAATCTTGGGCATGGTCCCTAACCCCTCTCTGCCTCAATTTCCTCATCTGGCTTAGCACAGTGCCTAGCATTTAGCAGATTCTCCATGGGTCAGTTTATCTGGAATTGCATTTTTGTATATGCACAATTAATTTTATAGGTCAGAACATTGCTTTTAACCAAACAAACTAGATACAACAAGACACAAAATTTCAGAGTGTGTAGCTCCAATTAAGGGTATTATTCGAAGGCAGCACTGTCCAATAGAAATATAATATGAGCCACATATGCAATTTTTAAATTTCCAAGTAGCCATCTTTTAAAAAGTGAAACGGGTGAAATTAAGTTTAATCATCTATTCAACCCAATATATTCTAAAATGCTATCATCTCAACATATAATAATTTATATACAATTTATCCGTGAGACCTTTTAGAATTTTGTCATACCAAGTCGGCAAAACCTCATTTGTATTTTCCATTAAGGGCATATCTCAATTCAGACCTGCCATATTGCCAGTGGCAATAGCCAGGCGTGGCTCCCATATTGGATAGCAGAACCCTAAGGACAATTTCAGTTATATACACAAAGGGGTGTCCTGCATTGTGACACAGCATATTTCATATTGAAGAACATGGCCCACGGAGCTGGAGAAGCACCTCACAACCACAAACGGGATAGGTATATCTCACCAAGTATCAAAAGAAGCCAGACACGAAAGAGCACATGCTGGGTGGTTCCCTAAGTCAAGGGCAGGTAGAACTGCTCCTAAGTCAGGAGAGTGGCAGTCCCTGGAGGACTGGGCTCATAGTCACTGAGATGGGGCATGTGTGGCCTTAGGAGAAGCTGTGTGTTCTGTCTCTTGATCTGGTGCTGCTACATAGGTTGTTTGGTTTGCAAAAACATATTAACTCCCTATCGATAGATGAATGGATAAACACAGTGTGGTCTAACTCTCCAATGGAATAGTATTCAGCCCTGAAAAAGAATGAAGTGGTGATACATACTACAACATGGATGAACCTTGAAGACATTAAGCTGAGTGAAAGAAACCAGACACAAAAGGACAAATTTTTCATGATTCCATTTATATGAAATGTTCAGAATAGGTATCCCTAGAGACAGAAAGTAGATTGGAGGTTGTTAGGGGCTGGGGGAGGGAGAAGTAGGAGAGACTGCTTCATGGGCACAGGCTTATCTTTTGTGGGTGATGAAAATGTTTTGGAGCTAGATAGAGGTGGTGGTTGCACAAACACTATTATTGTACTAAATGTCACTGAATTGTTCACTTTACATGGTTACTGGTTAATCTTTTATTAGATGAATTTTGCCTCAATAAGAAAGGGGTGGGTAAGCATCAAGGTAGACACTTATGATAGTATACACTTTTCTATATTTATGTGGTACTTAGAAAACAGTTTACTTGTTTAAAATATTTATTTAAGAGTTTGAGAAATGCTACCTAAAATGCTCACCAATATTTCTGTCATCTGGTTACTCCCAGGGCAGAGTGGGCTGGGCAAGTCCACAATGGTGAACACACTGTTCAAGTCCAAGGTATGGAAATCCACCCCACCGGGTCTGGTGGGGACCACAGCCCAGACGCTGCAGCTGCACTCAGTGACCCACGGTGAGCGAGTCCCCGCCCTCACCATCACCGCCATCCTGGCCCGCCTGGGTCCAATCTCTCCCCTCCTTTGCTCTCTCTTCACAGTCATTGAGGAGAAGGGTGTGAAGCTCAAGCTGACTGTGACTGACACACCCGGCTTTGGGGACCAGATCAACAATGACAAGTGGTGGGTCTTCTGAAGTGGAGCCAAGCCCCGGTTGCCCGTGCCCCTGCCCCTCTAGCCTCTGGGAAACGTCCCAGCCCTGGAACAACCTGGCTGTGGTATCTTTGGGCCTCAGTTTATTCATCTGTATAATGGCCGTACACAGCTCTCCCTCCGAGATTGAAGGGAGTCAAGTACGTAAAGGTCTTAGCGCGCTGCTTGGCACACAGTAAGCACTCAATAAAAGTTATGGTATAGACGAGGTTAGAAGCCCGCGTGCCAGAGTCAGGATCCTGGGTTAGACCACTTTCTAGCTACATAACCTGGGACTGGTCACAGAAGCTCGATGTCCTTCTTTGTAACTTGGGGATGACAACACCCATCTTGCAGAGTTGTTCTAGGCTCTCAATGACCCACACACACACAACCCCCACAAAATCAGGAGTGGTTGCAAAATTTGTAGGACCCAGTGTGATGAAAATGTGGGCCCCTTGTTCAAAACCAAGAAAATGTAAGACCATGACTGCAGAACATTCAACAAAGCATGGGCCCCTCTAAGCGCAGAGCTCTGTGGGCTGCTCCTTTTACAGTCTTTCAAAGCCGGCCCTGCACATGATGCGCACTTGAGCACTATCTGCAAGCTCCGTTCTAGATCTGGGGATGCTGCAAGGAACAACAAAAATGAACTTCCTCGCCTACATGGAATTTATGTTGTCACAGGGGTAACAGACAGCCAATGCACAAAATAATCAGCTATACACAGAGGGCGAGCCTAAACTCTACCATCCAAACAGGACATTTCTGAGAGTTAAAGGGGTACAGAGCCATAGGGGGTTGCAATCTTAAGCAGAACAGTCAAGAAAGACTTCCTGAAAAAAAGTGAGATTCGGACACAGACTTCCAGGAGATGAGAGAATGAACCATGTGGACATGTGGAGAAGAGTGTGCAAGGCTGAGGGTCGCATGTGCAAAGGCCCTGAGGCGGATGGGCTGGTGTGGCTGGCAAGCAGGAGCAACAGGGAGAGGAAGAGGAGCGAGCAGGCAGGAAGCAGCGGTTGGGTGGTGTAGGGCCTTGGAGGGAAATGAAAGGACTTTGGCTTTTCCTCAGCCCCCGGAAGCTGAGCAGGAAAGTGATGCAATCTGACTCCTGCTTTTAGAAGAATCTTCTGTGCTGCTGTTGGCAATAGCCCGCAGAGGGAAGGGGCCCAGGGAGAGGAGTCAGGAGATCTTTGCCACTATCAGGCAGGAGTCCATGGTGGTTTGAATCAGGCCAGCAGCAATTTCTCTCATTCAATACTCACTCCCCACTACCACCACCAGAGTATGTTCTTATAGTCCCTACTTTACACACAAGGGAAGGTGAGGCCTCAGCTTGAGAATGCCAGGCGTCCCTCTCTGGTGGTGCAGGGGAGTGGGGGGGAGGGGAGCATACTCAGGTGCCCAAGCACCTTGGGCTGTGCAAGGCTGAAGGTCTTGCATCCCGGGAGAACCAGGGCGATTGGTCACACTCAGGGGAGACCAGCCAGAGGCCCCAGGGAGGCAGGTGGGGCTCCTGGGCACGATCCTGAGTTGGGTCCATCTCCCACTCCAGCTGGGACCCCATCTTGAGCTACATCAATGAACAGTACGAGCGGTACCTGCAGGAGGAGATCCTTATCACCCGCCAACGTCACATCCCTGACACCCGGGTGCACTGCTGTGTGTACTTCGTGCCGCCCACTGGGCACTGGTGAGGTGGCTGGACCATTTGGGCAGAGAGGAGGAGGAGGAGGAAGGGGCCCCAGCATGGGCTATGGGCTGGCACCCCCCTCACTCATACACTTGCTGCTGCTGCCACCACCATCACTGCCCCGTCTGAGCAGCCTGCGGCCCCTGGACATTGAGTTCCTGCAGCGGCTGTGCCAGACTGTGAATGTGGTGCCCGTGATCGCACGGGCTGACAGCCTGACCATTGAAGAGCGAGAGACCTTCAGGCGCCAGGTGAACTAAGTGCCTGGGCCAAGGCTGTGGTCAGCGGAGGTGGGAAGGAGCAGAGTGCACAAGGTGAGCTGAGGTTACCTGCATGTGGTCCCCAGATCCAGCACGACCTCAGGACTCACTACATCGATGTGTACCCGCAGAAGTGCTTCGATGAGGACATCAATGACAGGATCCTCAATAGCAAGATCAGGGTAGGAGGCCATGGTGGGGCAGGAGGCTGGTGGGACCAAGGCCACCTGATTTTCTTTTCATTCATCCTTTCCATCTGAAGATTACAGCTAGGAAAAAGTTCACATATTTCTAGCAGGTACGAATCTCTATCCATCCAGAAACTTAAGGTGAGCAAAAAATAAGTCATATGAACAACCCACAGAATGGGAGAAAATATTTGCTAATGATATATCTGATAAGGGACTTGTATCCTGATTATATAAAGAACTCTTACAAATCAATAATAAAAGACAATTCAATTTAAAAATGGGCAAAGGATCTCAAATAGACATTTACCCAAAGAATTTATATAAATGGCCAATAGCATATGAAAAGATGTTCAACGTCATTAGTCATAAGGGAAATGCAAATCAAAACCACAAGATACTTCACATCCACTAGGATGGCTATTATCAAAATGACTGACAATAACAAGTTAGTGGAGAAATTGAGACTCACACATTACTGGTGGGAATGTCAAATGGTACAGTCGCTTTGGACAACAGTGTGACAGTTCTTCGGAAGGTTAATCACTGAGTTACCATATGACCCAGTAATTCTACTCCCAAAAGAAATGAAAACCTATGTCCACATAAAAACTTGTACACAAATGTTTATAGCAGTGTTTCATAATAGCCAAAAAGTGGAAATAATCCAAATGTCCATTACTTTATGAATGGATAAACAAAGGTGGTCTAGCCACATGATGGAACATTGTGGCCATAGAAAAGAATGAGGTTCTGAAAGATGCTACAACATGGATAAACCTTGAAAATATGAAGCTCAGTGAAAGAAGCCAGACATAAAAAGCCATGTGTTGAATGATTCCATTATTCGAAATGTCCATAACAGGCAACTCTATAGAGATAGAAAGTAGATCAGTGGTTGCCAGGAGCTGGGGGTCAGAGTGAATGGGAAGTGACTGCTAGCGGGTCCAGGGTTTCTTTTTGGGGTGATGGAAATGCTGTAGAATTAGATTGTGGTGATGGTTGCACAATTTTGTGGATATACTAAAAGCCATTGAACTGTACCTCTCAGAGTGAATTTTACAATATGTGATTTGTTTCTCAATAAAGCCGTTACAAAAAGGGAAGAGGGAAATAGCTCACATCTTCATTTTCTCTGAATTAACTGAATTCTAACTCCAAGCCCCCATCTTCCTGACCTTGTGGTGCATCCAATGTCGGTCCATCTGGACCCTGCAAACCACCAGGATGAGGCCTGGGGTTCATCATCCATAGACATCAGGCTTCAACTCCCTCCCCGCAGGGCCCCTGCTAGCCTACACAGTGATCTAGTTTGGATTAGAAAAATGCAGCAGCTTCCTCTACAGTCGGGGGCCTACACTGCCTCATGACCAGTTGCCTCTGTGCAGTGCACAGACCGCACATCTGTACATGGAGGCTCTGTTTCCCGTCTGGCATCCAATTTCTCTACACATTCCCTCTTCCCCCTCCCCTCTGGAGCAATCAACGGGATTTCCTGTGGAAGATTCAAAGAGCTCTGACCTTAACCAACTTCCTGCTTTCTGTCCTGAGGAGGGCAAAGACAGCTGGAACAGAGCTAGGAGAAATACGAGGAGCATATTCTTAAATCTCAATAAGTCATCCAGACACATAACATTATCGAAGGTTTACTACAGGCTGGCACATAATAAATGTGCAACAGATAGTTATTATTATTGGCATCGATATTATTCCCTGTCACTAATTAACTGTGAATTAAAAACAAACTCACTTAGGAGTTTTTGAGTTTGCATCTTCACTTCTGGAACATGTAAACAACTAGAATTTACAACAGGGTTTGGCGAACTTTTTTGTGACATGCCAGATGATGGTAAATATTTTAGACTTTGTGGGCCAAGCGGTCTCTGTCGCAATTATTCAACTCTACTGTGGTAGTCTGAAAGCCATAAAGACAAGAGTCACTGAATGGGCAGGGCCGTGTACCAATGAACTTTACAGAGAAAAACTGAAGGTGGGCCCTGGTTGGCCTGTGAGCCACAGGTGGCCAAACCCTGGTTCATAACATCATGATAATTGTTGAAGGTGATTACTGTTCTTGCTTCACAGGTGAGAGATTTGATGTTAGCAAGATTACGTTAGTAAGGTGGCTATTAGTAATGACACAGCTTCCAAGAGTTGTTCTGCTAACCTTTAATTATGCTAAGCACTTCTCAAACATCCTATGTCAGTACTGTGATGACTCTCACTTTCCAAATAAGGAAACTGATTGGATTTCTATCTTCTGACTTGTTAGATATCATGTACGCCTTCTACTACTTTCTCCTTTCTCTCCCCACAAAGGACAGCAACCCCCTGCCCCGCCTCTACCGGGGGTAGGAGACCAACCCTCCCATCTTGGCCCCTCCCTCAGGAACGGATCCCCTTTGCTGTGGTTGGGGCTGACCGAGAGCACCTAGTGAACGGGAGGTGTGTGCTGGGCCGGAAGACGAAGTGGGGCATCATTGAAGGTCAGTGAAGGCATTTGGGGAGCGTGAGTGGGGCACCAGGACACGCCCTATATTGCCTTTGGGATCCTTAGCACCTATCATAGGGCCCCGTGGTTAACAGACAGACCTTGGATGAGTCCCTCTTTACAGCTGGGAGGCCTCAGGCAAGTTACTGACTCTCTGGACCTCAGTTTCCTCACAGTAAAATGGGCATCATGGTAACATCAACCTCATAGAGTGGTTGGAGGGGGCAGAGCCACAGCTCTGCATAATGCCAGGCACCCACAAGGTGCCCTATTCGTGTGCCAGAATTTATTGTGGGCCTACTATGTGCCCCGTGTACTATGTGCAGTTCCTCATGGTAGACAGTGAAAGCAGGACCAACAGGGTCCCTATTCCCATAGAGTTAACAAGATGATAACGGATGAGTGAAGCACTATGAAGGAAATATGCAGGGTGGGAGGTGGGGCTGCCTGAGGGAGCAGAGGAGGGCCTCCCTGAGGGTGAGACTGGAAGGTAAAGGAACAGCAGCCAGGACCTGAGCCCCCAGTTTATCAACATAATTATTAAAAGTAGAATATAATATACATTATACATGGTATAATAAGTGTAATATAATATAGTTATGATTAAGTATATAATAAATAAATAATCAGTGAATTCATTGATTCAACAACTATTTGTAGGAACCACCTGTACCAGGTGCTGGGGACGCAGCAATGAATAAATGAAGACGGGGAGGTGGGATAAGGGGAGGGCAAGGGCGGTGGTGGGTATTAGGTGTCGTGCAGCACACAGTGGGCATTCGGTGTCCTGTCTTGCAGTGGAGAACATGGCGCACTGTGAATTTCCCCTCCTGAGAGACCTGCTCATCCGGTGAGGGTGTAGGGAGCCCAGGGGGCTGCAGGGGGCCTGGGGTTTGCCATGGCTGGCCTGGGCTGACCTCCTGCCCATCTCCCAGCTCCCACCTCCAAGATCTGAAGGACATCACCCACAACGTCCACTACGAGAACTACCGAGTCTGCAGACTCAACGAGAGCGACGTGCTGCCCCGCGGGCCTGGCTGGGTGAACCTGGCCCCAGCCCCCACCAGCCCTCCCGCCACCCCTGGGCCCTCAAAGGTCCGCCGGCGGACCCAAGACAATTCCACAGAGTAGTACTGAGCATGGGCACACCCCAAAACACACCTGTGTACTAGAGCATGTATTAAAGGTGGACATTGCTTTTTAGAAAAAGCTGTACTTTGAAAACACAAAGCGTTTTGTAAATAACTTCTTTGAGCTAACCTCAATAAAAGTATGGTTCTTTTTTAAGTGATAGCCTGAGACCCCAGGCCCTAGGGAGTCATGAAGGCCTGGGAGGGTGGGCCTTGATGACCAGCTCCTTCTGCCTCCAAATCAGAGTCAAGTTCCAAAGCCGGCTCTGACCTTCCCCCAAGGGAAGGTCAACCCTCCCTTCAGGCCCAGGGCCAGGCCCACAGCTCAGAAACACTCCTGTCATTGCCTGCCTTCTCTCAATTCTGCACCCCCCAACCCCCACTCCATGTGCCTGCCCAGGCCTTCCTCTTTGCCCTGCCCTGGCCAGTCTAAGCACAGTGAGAAATAGCTCCAACTTTGAAGTCTGGCAAAGCTGATGTGACATCCCTTCTCTGCCGTGTAACCTTGAGCAAATCATTTACTTTTCCTCGGCCTCAGTTTCCTCATCTATACAATGGGATAGCAGCATCACTTTCATAGTTCTGTTATGCAGATGATTCCTGGAATGTGCCTGCCACAGCTTGGAGAAATGGTTCTCAGGCTGGGGTGAGGGGAACAGGAGAGAGCTTGATTGGGACAGAGGCTGTGCTTGCAGAATGTGGGAGCACTTCCCAAAACTTTCCAAAACCCTCAAAAATAAAGGGACTTCATGGAAGCCCACATGGTGGGGACCTGAAGCTCAGTTTGGTAACAAAAGGACAGGCAACTTCTATCATCCAGAAGGGAACACCTAAGCTCCTGCAGGGAGAGAGTATGTGCTGAGCATTCAGTAAATGACAATGGATGTGCTAAGGGGTCTCCAGAGAAAGAGATCCAATAGGACACATGGAGACAGATATATTGCAGGAATTGACTCACACAGTGATGGAGGTGAGAAGTCCCATGTATGCTGTCTGCAAGCTGGAGACCCAGAAAAGCTGGTGGTATAATTCACTTCGAGTCCAAAAGTTTGACAACTGGGAGGCCAATGGTATAATCCAGCTGGAATGCAAGCACACAAGACCTAAGCTCCCTGATGTCCAAGGGCAGAAGATAGATGTCTCAGCGTAAGCAGAGAGGATTTTCCCTCTTCCTCCACCTTTTTGTTCTATTTGCACCCTCAAGGGTCTAGATGATGTCCACCCACAATCTTTACTCAGTCTACTGAATCCAATGCTAATCTCTTCCAGAGACACCCTCACAGACACACATAGAAATAATGTTTACCAGCCATATGGGCATCCCTTTGCCCAGTTGTTGAAACATAAAATTAATCATTACATCATCTACAAGTTACCTCTTCCATGAAGTCCTCCTTGACTTCCCAGGCCAATGTACTCACTGTACACTCGGTGTATATATCACATGGTTTGTTTTCTGGTCAATATCCCCCATTGGACTGAGAGCCCTATGAGGGAAGAGATATGTCAACTTCATCCTGCACATGACAGGTGCTCAGGACCTGGCTATTAAATGAATGAACCCAGCAACCTCTGCCCCATAGCTATTTTCCCATCAGATTCACAGAGCAGCTGACTCCAGGCTTGCGGGGACCCACACCACCCACGCCAGCATCTCAGAGTTGGTGTGTCACCTCACAGGAACTGAGCACATTCTCAAAGTTAATATTAGCCCTGGGCAATGAATGTTGCAAAGTCTATACCATTTCAAAAGGATACGCCCTTTGGCTCAGCAATTATATTTCTAGGAACTAATCTTACAGATAAACCAGTGTTTTTCAACCTCACTATTGATTTGGAGCTGATCCTTCTTTGCTGCAGGAGCTGTTCCGTGCATTGCCGTATATTTAGCAGCATCCCCAGGCCTCCACCCACTAGATGCCAGTAGCACTGACTGGACCCCACATACACACACACTGTGACAATCAAAAATGTCTGTAGACATTGTCCAATGTCTCCTTGGGGGCACAATCTCCCAGGTTGAGAACTGATAGTGGTACCCAGTGCAATATAGATGAGAAACAGCCTACCTGCCCACCAGGAGTGAACTGGAAAGTAAATCATGGGACATTCATACCATGTATATTAGTTTCCTATGGCTGGTGTAACAAATGGGCACAAACCTGGTGGCTTAAACGACACACATTCATGTTCTCACAGTTCTGGAGGTCAGAAGTCTGAGATTAGTATCACTGGGTCAAAATGAAGGTGTTAGCAGGGTTGAGCTGCCTCTGGAGGCTCTAGAGGAGAATTTGTTTCCTTGCCTTTACCAATTCTAGAGACTGCCAGCATTTCTGGGCTCATGGCCCCTTCCTCCATCTTGCTTCTGTTGTCACATTGTTTCCTGCAGTCAAATCTCCCTCTGCCTTCCTCTTATAAGGATGCTTGTGATTACATTGGACTCACTGGAATAATCCAGGATAATCTCATCTCGAAATCCTTAATCATATTTGCAAAGTATCTTTTGTCTTATAGAATAATATAGGTTCTGGAGCAGGAATTGGATATCTTTGTGGGGCCATTCTTCCGCCCACCAAACGACAGAATACAACATGGTGGTCCTTCAAAAGAATGAAGTAAGACAAACCCGGCATAATCTCCCTTATATGTGGGACCTAAATGAGTTGTAGTCAGAGAAACAGAGTAGAATGGTGGTTGCCAGGGGCTGGGGGTGCAGGAAATGGGAAGATATTGGTCAAAGGGTACAAACTTTCAGTTATAACATGAATTAATTCTGGAAATCTAATGTATAGCATAGTGATTATAGTTAACAATATATTATATCCTTGAAAGTTGCTAAGAGAGTAGATCTTAAATGTTCTCACCACACACACACAAAAATATAACTATGTGTTAACTAACTTTATTGCTGTAATCATTTTACAATATATTTGTATATCACCTTCAACTTATACAATGTTACCTGTCAATTATATTTTAATAAACCTAGAGGAGAAAAAAAATAGAGACAGCTCTACAATCATTCATGTGTTCTTTCTAGGAACAGATCTCCTGGGCCCACTGTGAGCTGCTACAGAGGCTGAGGCTCAGCAGGGACAAAATTAAGTCACTGCCCTCAGGAGCTTGTACCTGGGTCGGGCAAGATGACAATAAACCAAACGAGTAAAATTCTGAGCATGTTGCATTGAGATGGGTGCTCTGGCACCAAGTAAGGCACTTAGCAGTATAGGATTATCTAGGATTGAGGGAGTTTGGAATTATAAGGGGGTCAGGGAGGGCCAAGCTGAGAATTAGACTTTGAGTAAAAGTGTGATGGAGTAAAGGAATAAACCATGGAGATATGTGGGGGCAGAGCATTCTACACAGAAGGAAAAGAAGACTCTGCAAGTGCAAAGGCCCTGGGGCAGGAGTGTACTGGACATGTTCAGGCAAGAAGTCCTATGTGCCCAGAGCAGTATGAACCAGGGAAGAGAGGGGTAGGGTGGGTATGGAATGAAGACAGAGAGGTGGGAGAAGGGCAGGCCCACAGTCTGTCCAATCTGAGTTCCCTATCATGACTCTATTGGTACAGATATTGATGGACCACCTAAGGATACTGATGAGAACACAAGGAGCAATAGAGTGCACAGTGGATGGCAGCACACGGAGCATAAGTATCTCTGGACAGGTACTCAAGACACTGGGGCAAAAGGTTGCTTCTGGGGAGGGCAACTGGACTAGGGATCAAGAGTGGGAAGGAGATATAATTTTCACTCTATCTCCTTTTGTACTGAGTGAATGGCTTCTTAACCAGGCACGTGTATTACCTATTCAAATTACCTATTCAAAAAACATTAGTACATTTACAATATTAGCTCTTGGCCCTGACCAGGGTCACCAGGGGGAACTGATAGTCTAACTCCTCTATCCCCCTTCCTGGTCACTCTGCTGTGGCCCTGCCCGCAATTGGCATCTCCTCCAAGCTCCAATAACCTCCTCTCTTTGCATTCGCACCCTGCTGCCCACTTTTGTTCACTGGGGCAATCTTTTTTGTGGGGAGGGTGGGGTATTATGGAAAGTGTTGGTCCTGCTCTTTGCTGATGACTTTACCTCCAGTTCTGGAAGGTCTTGCCACATCCATGGCGACTGCAGCTCATGCGTGGCACAACTCGTTTGTGTACTGAATAAAGGTCAAGTACAGATTTCTTCTGCATTTCTCGCCTTACACAAGAACAAAGTCCTTATCTGACACATCTTGGGATTCCCCAAGCCCAGCAAGCGTGGGTTCCAACCTTTGCCCCTTTTTAACTGCATGACTTTAGACAAGTCACTCTACATCCCAGAATCCATTTCCCTCATGTGTGAAATGGGGATAGCAACACCAACCTCCTAAAAAGGTTGTGTGAGGACAAACCTGCTTAGAGATGCCAAGATCCCACAGGAAGCAGTTTTTCTGATGACTTGTTTTGTAGGTGGGGCGGGTTGAATTGTGCGGTACACTAAGCAGGTTCATGTCATCATGAAATAGTCATCATATTAAATAACAATAGGGAGCTTTTTTTTTTTAATGGAGAATCACAAAATGAATTCCCATGTACCTGGTACAATAAAACATCCGCCAGATTACATGGGCAAGGATGTTCATAGCAGCTTTATGCATAATAGGCCCAAACTGGAAAGGGCAAATGTCTAGTTACATGAGAGTGGATCAATTGTGCTATAGGCATACAATGCTCCCTGACAATAAAAACGAACCAACTACTGACACACGCAAGAGCTTGGATGAATCTCAGAGACACAATGATGAGTAAAAGATGCCAGACAGCAAAGAAAACATACTGTGTGGATGTCACTTATAGAGTTCAAGAACAGGAAAAATTAGTTTAAGGTAACAGATAGCAGATCAGTGGTTTTGGGCAAGAACTGGGGGAACTGACGGGGACGGAGGGCAAGAGGTAGCCTTCTAAAGTATTAAGAATGACCTATATCTTGATCTAGGTGATTACACAGGTGTATAGATTT